CAAGATTTTTAATAGAATGAAAAGGATTGTATATTTTTCTAAAAATGTTTGTTTTTTCTCTTTTACAGAGAAGTAGAAAATTTTTGAACTAAAATTTTTTTGGATCAGTTTTAAAGAAATAAATTTACACTTTCCACATGAGTGAAAAAGCAAATGTGCATTTTTATTTCAATTTGTCATGTTTAGGCTCCACAAAAGTTGAGGTGGCAAGTTTGAAATTATAGTTTTGAAGCAAATTTTGTAACGCAGTTAAATATATTCAATAAACTAAATTTAAAATGATCATAAAACGAGCGTAGATAATTTTACAACTACTCACTGGGCATTGTTTTGGTTTTTTGATCAATGTTTCAAAATATAAATACTACTCGACAATGCCAGGTTAGCTTTGGGCAATATAGATAATACTGGATCTAGCTGAATATATCATATTGTAAACAAAGTTTATATTATCAATTTCTCAATTAATTGTTCAAAGTTAATGAATCTGTAATATATATACAAAATTATGTCGATTAGTTTGCATTCAACTATTAATACTAAATATTGTTATAATTACACACAAAAATCTAGGGTTTGTTCATTTTTGTTGCAGCTCAAAATTGCATTTAATTATCTTAGCTAAAGAAAGAAAATTAAATTTTTCTTTGCGTAATGTCCATGAGAAAAAAAAAGATTGCACTTGATTATCTTAAGTAGGGGGAGAAGAATCGATTATAATTTTTTAAGGCTCAAAAAAAAGTTTCTCCAAAAATTGTGATTTAAAACTCTTTAATTTTTTAATTTATTTGCCAATGATTTTTCATCAATGATTTTTAGTTGAAAAAAATTATAATCAGTTCTTCGATCGGGACCCTCAATTTTATTAATTTTAAATTTTATTAAAAAAAAATAATTATGATAATTATTTTGAAAATAATTGGATTCAATTGAAAAATTTTATTAAAACGTTTATTTTTAAAAATAATTGTATACTTTCGAGAAATTTTACTAAAATTGAATTAAAAATAATTGAATTCCTCTTAAGAATTTTATTAAAATTTTTCAAAATGCTCATTTTAATTCTTTTGAAGAATTTCTTTCAAGTCTTTAAAATAATTGCGTTTCTTAATCATTGAAATTAAACACTTACTTATTGGATTTTTTAAAAAAAAATTTGTAAATGATTGAATTCTTCTCATAACTTTAGTAAACTTTTCGATTTAAAATAATTTAATTCATTCAGGACATATTGTTAAAATATGTAAAATAATTCAATTCTTTCGAAGAATAGATACGGTTAAAGGTTTTGACAATGATTAAATTTTTTAAAAAAATTTCTTTAATTTATTGAATATAATCGATTTTGTTAATAATTGTTATTAATAATTTTAATTTTAAAATTTTATTAAAAATTATTGATTATAGAAAATTAAACTTTTTTAAACAATTTTATTAGAGTTTTGGAAATAATTAAATTCTTTTGAAGAATTTCTTTATGTTTTTTTTCAAAATAATGTAGTTTTTGAATAATTTGAATTGAAAATTTTGAAAATAATTCAATTAAACAAAGAATTTTTTCAAATTTTCAAATAATGATGTCTTATAAAAATTGTAATTAAATAATTAAATACTTTATTTTTGAAGTTTATTAAAATTGTATTGAAAATAAAATGAATTCCTGTGAATAATTTTATTATTTATAGAAATAATTTAATTCTTGAGAAGAATTTTACTATTTTTAAAAATAATAATTGAATTGTTTCCAAGAATTTATTAGAAGTTCATAAAATAATTGAATTCTTTCGAAAAATGTTTAATTGAATCCTTTCGGCAAATTTTATTAAAATTGTATTGAAAATAATTGGATTCCTATAAAGAATTTTATTATTCATAAAAATAATTGAATTCTTCCGAAGAATGTTATTATTTATGAAAATAATTGAAATTTTGCGAAGAATTTGATCAAAACTTTTGAAATAATTGAATTTTTAAAATAAATTTTACAATCAATTATTTCAGTATCTTAAAATAAAATACCATTCAATTGATTTAAATAAAAATTATTTGATTCAAGTAAAAATTGTTTTCAATGTTTTCAATTCAACATTGTAAAATTGACTTTTCATTTGGATTAAAATAAAATAATTTTTGAAAATGTTTTTTTCGTAGATTTTCAATTTTTTTTTGTTACCTTATAAAAAAATACCATTAACAAAATAAAACGTTACATTTTAATAATATGTTCAATAAATTGTGGAAACTTTTAAAATTTAAATTGTTTAATGCACACCGTGAGCTAAAATGTCTAATAGAATTTGCAGTTACGGTTAGTAAAACAGTGTCAAAAACTGAGCTCCCTTGGCCGTAAGAACACTTACGCTTCTAAGGCAGTATTTCGACGATTTAAAAATTAATTTTTAACAGTATTCGACATTTTATTTATAATAAATTAAAATTTTTGAATTATTTCAACGCCATTAAATAGAGCATATTAAATTTAGTTCATAACAATTGTAAATATTAAAAAAAGTTTTAAATGTTAGTGCAGCTCGTTAGGAACGCGTTTCCTCAAATATCTCGAAACCACTCTGACTGCAAGTAACCATTTTCTTCATCAGGGCGGCAGTATTGACCTCACTAGCAATTTACTAAAATATTGAAAATTCATTTCAACATTAAATATTTTGCACATTAAAGAAACATTCTTTAAATTTTCTACACATGTGTCGAAGCGAACAGAATTCCAATACGACACCTCACCGATTGTTTATCGATTTTTTGTATTCGAAACATTAATATTAATCTTGGAAGCCGGTACGTGTCAGTAATAAAATGACCAGAAGCATGTTTTGTGTTGTTGTTCTTTGACGACCCTGATCACTGAAAATGAGGGTCGACGACTGTTGGACAACAAAACGGTAGGAGAGAGACTAAAGCTTGCCCGCCTTGTAATTTGATATTTTATTGTCTCTCTCTCTCTCTCTTTGCACAAGAACTCGCAGGGGCCAGGGCATCGCTTATCATGCCAAGACTGTCGACATGGGGCGAAATGCAGAACACGAGTTTGAATTCATCGATTATTCCCGACGGAGTAATTTCAGAGTAGAGTTGCGTCTCAATCGACGACTGTGTGACTAATGGAGGCAGTCAAATATTTGGAATGCTCCCTGTTTGAAATTTCGGATAGCGTCACATTCACATAGAATGTTTGCATGCGCTAATTCAAATACAGTCAGTAATTACGGCGCAAGCTTTTACATTTCCTCTACTTTTTTTTGGTCTTCTCACTTTTAACCAATTTTTTTTTTCATGTTTCCAAAAAAAATCAATTAGTGGTGACCTTTTTTTTTAATTAGTCGCAACTTGGTGTCAAATTCTGTTTAATAATTAAGCTTTAAAACGTCGCAAGACCTCAACTTTTTTTATTTTTTGCAAAATATTCCAAATCTATTAATCAACAGAAGCAAAACTCAAAAATAAAATTTGTATCTTTTAGTGATGGAATTTTTTTTTTATTTTTAAAATAAATTTTTAATAGCTGGAGGTTAATTATTATGACTTAATAATGACATTCAAAATTAAAATGTTAGAAAACGGAAATTGGTAAAATTTTCCATTGACATTTATTATATTTGAATTTATTTCCATTGAGAAATTGCTTTCTTAAATTATATATTGACTTGTTAGATTTAGTATTGATATTATATTTCCTTATTCAGGGGGGTAACACAGGCTGAAAAGAGATCTGATATTTGATTAGTCTCTATTCTAGATATTGGATTTTGTATTTCATTTCAAAGTAAGTTTAACGGTCAATAAATCACTGTTTACTGGTGCTTTAAACGAATGCGTTTGTAATAAATTTTGCTAATTCCATTTTATCATATATCATATGAGAATTTCTTTTTTTTTAAATATTAATGTTTACCTCCTAAATTTGAGAATTAGTTCCATTCGACCGATTTAAATTCAGAGATTATCGATTATTGTTAATTTTTGTTTTTTTGTTATAAATCTGAATATTATCATTAATCTGTATATTTTTTATTTGTTACAGGTCAGTTGCACTCAATTTTCAATAATTTCATTACTGTATTACTGTAAGTACAATAATTATTTCTAAAAATAAAATAATGATAATAGAAAAAAAAAATATATATATATATATAGTAGGGGAGCGTGGGGTAATGGGAGAGCGGGGGTAATGGGAGCTTTTAAATTTCAAGTACTAAGAGACTTTGAATTTCGCGGACATTGCTCGGAAAACTTCGTCAATCTTTGTTTATGATACACGAAGGCAAGCGGTCACATTTCTGACAGATTTGTAGAAACAACAAAGAAAAATCAAGTTTTCGAGTTTTCGTTATTAAATGGCAAAAATTTCTAGAGGTCAAAGTAAGTAGTTAAAATTTTATTATTTAATTATGTTTTGTGATTATAGTATAGATAAATATATGCAGATTTGGAAACATGAATAAAAATAGAGGTAATTGTGCAGTTTGTTTATGTTATTATTTTTTTTTCCGAATTGTAACTTGTGAGAATTTTGTGGGGTAATGGGAGAATTAATGTCAGCCAGAAAATTTTTTGTTATCTCGCTACGGCTTTTCTTATTTCTGTGAAAATTGAAAAAGTTTCAACCCGGTGACATAACCTCAAATTAGGAAGTAACTTTTGGTGACAGATGTATTGTTACAATTTATTTAAACAAATTTTTATTCAATTACACAATACAAAAAAATCTATTTTGAGTAAAATGTTTTGGTTTCATTGTGAGTATTAAAGTTTTTTCTATTAAAAAACAGGGAAAACAGTTACAAATATACCTGTGCTATTACAAAAAAGTAAAATTTTGTATTATTTATATTTTTATTAGGAGAAACAAAGCTTTTAAAAAACGACAACAAAGAGAAAATAACAAATATTTTTTCTATTTTTTCAATTTTTTTAGTCAGGGCTTTAAGCATCTAACACAGACAATATTATTTTATATTTTTAATTTAATTTAATTTTTATAGATGCCAAGAAGTAGAAAACGAACGACGTCGAAGGCAGGTTGGACTACAGAAGTATTACAAACTGCAATAGAGTCCATAGAAAATGAAGGGAAGTCTGTAAAAAGTGCGGCAGAGAATTTCAACATACCATACAGCACTCTAAAAAAAAGACATAACTTATCCAAGGAAAATGATTCTACATATAATCGTCCTCCTCAGCTTGGAAGAAATCCTGTATTCAATAAAGAACAGGAAGAGATACTTGCGAAACATCTTCTAGAGATGTCTAATATGTTTTTTGGTCTAACAAGAGATTAATTATGTAAGTTATGCTATAATGTAGCTAAAACATTCGGTCTTGAGGGTAGATTTAACGTTGAAAAACAGACAGCTGGAAGAGATTGGTTGTTAGGATTTCTACGCCGTCACCCCGACCTCAGTATCAGAAAACCGGAAGCGACTAGTATTAATCGTATTTTGGGTTTTAATAAGATTGAAGTGACTCGCTTCTTTCATAATCTGGAGTCAGTAATGACTAAATTTAAGTTTTAACCACAAAATATTTTTAACATGGATGAATCAGGGTTCTCCACTGTTCATAATCCAGGAAAAATAATAGCACCTAAAGGACAGAAGCGTGTTGGTGCAGTAACTTCATGGGAAAGAGGCAAAAATGTGACAGCAATTTGTGCAATGAGTGCAACTGGTATCTTTGTACCTCCACTGTTCATTTTCCCTCGGCAGCGTCACTCACCTTTTCTAGAACGCGATGGACCTCCAGGAGCTATTTACACTTGTTCAATTAACGGGTGGACGAATGAACAAATATTTATAACATGGCTACAACATTTTATTAAATTTACAAAACCTTCTTCCAAAAATAAGGTTTTGCTAATAATGGACAATCATAACAGTCATTCTACGCTGGAAGCTTATGATTTAGCTCAGAAGAATCATGTAACTTTGTTGACTATTCCTCCACATTCATCGCATCGTTTACAACCTCTTGATGTAACTTTCTTTGGACCTTTGAAGACCGCTTATGACAGAGAGTGCGACTTGTATTTGAAATCACGAAATTTAATCAAAATAACTCCTTATGAAATAGCTGGACTGTTTAACAAAGCATATTCAAGAATTGCATCTTTGGACAAGGGAGTGTCTGGTTTTAAGACGACAGGAATATTTCCCATAGATCCATCTGTTTTTTCCGATGAAGACTTTTTTGTGACAGATGAAACTGATTCAGAAGTCGTTTCCACTGCAATGATAACTAATGAATCAAACAACATTCTCGCTCAACAAATAAGAGTTTCTGCCATGTCACAAGAATTGGAGCATCCAGAGGCACAGCCATTGTAGAACTCTCAAACTGAAGTCTTACAGCCTCCATCTACCAGTTTTTCCAACACTGTGAATGCATTGAGTTCACGACCACAGATATTCACGAAGCCTACGAAGACCACTAGAAATAAACAGCATTCAGAAATTCTGACTAGTCCACAAATGAAGGAAATTTTTAAAGAAAAGAAAAGGAAGCGAATCGAAAAGGAAAATAAAGAGAATAATAAGAAGAAACAGAAGAAAATTGAAAAAGAAACATCGAAAGATAGTAATGTAAACACCAGGAATAAAGTATCGAAATCCAAAGTGAAACAGCAGGCAACTGGAAAGCGAGGTGCTAATCGCTCATCTAATAAGTCATTAATTGATAAGAAAGCTAAGTCACCAAAAAGCTTAGAAGAAAATAAGTGTATTATATGTTTAGAAGTTGGAAAAAACAACGAGTTATGGTATCGTTGCAGAAGTTGTGGAAAATGGGCACATTCAGAATGCTCAGGATGTGACGATCCCAAGGATTATTTTTGTACTTCTTGTTCAAGGCAATAACAAATTTTTGTTCTTACAGAATTTATTGATAAAAAAAACTATTTTTGTTCTTCATTACTTAAGTATTTTATTAAATGTGATATTATTGCATATTCAAATACTAAGAAACTATATTTATGTTTTATTGTCTTAACTACGTTAAAAAATGTGTTATTAATGGATATTTTAATACTAAAGAAGCTGACAGTCGTTTTTATGTGTTAAATACTTTTTAAAATGTTCATCTGTCAAGAACTATTGATAAAATAAAAAAAATATTTAAAGAAAATAGAAATTATGTCATTTTTTTTTAATTACAAAGAAAGGCTCCGATTACCCCACAGGTGGGGTAATGAGAGAAAATGCATTTTTTTCAAAAAACATTTTTTTTACAAATTTAGTTGTTTTTTTCTTACTTTTTTATTGATCATAATTAAAGATAAATAACCAACGCAGTAAAAAATGACCAATAAAAATTTTTATTATATTAATAAGTTGGTTTTTTTAATCATTTTCCTTAAGGGGCTCCAATTCCCCCACGCTCCCCTATTATATATTAATATATCTATTATTCATTAATAATTTGTTGTGATATAAAAATTATATAATGTAATAAGGTATAGAATGTATTTTGAAAGCAGGCATTTTTTTTCAAAATTTATCACTTTATTCTTTTATGTAAATAATTGTGAATTATTATTTATAATTATTGAAAAAATTACTATTGGCCTGAAACTAAAAAGCAGATATGTATAACAGTATTAATTATGATAAGAAAAAATTATTTCTTAATTTTCTTTGAATTGTGTTAAAATAAAAACATCTCATTAAATTTTTTGATTCATATGCTCTTCTTATTTTTTCTTAACTTTAAACATGCGTCTCGTTAACATTTAACATTTCAAACTGAATATAATTGACATGCAGAGAGTTAGAATACAACATTTTATAAATTTACGAAAAGCGCACTTTTCCCTGTGCAGAGATAATTATAAAAGTTGTGATGATATTTTTATTTTTTGAAATACTTGTTCATTTTATAAATTTCGTGTGAATAATTTAAATAATATTTTACATTTAAAAATTGTTGTTCTTACACTGTAAAATCTTTATTAAATAATTCTCAACTTTATTATTTAATTTTTAATTAATTTTGTGTTTAAACTTTTATTTTTAATTAATTTTTTTCTATTCTTTACTTTTAATTTAGTTTATTTTAATTTTTATTCTAAATTTCGCATTTTTAATTTCCCTTTTAATTTCCGCTTTTGATGAAAAATTTCTGTTTGAAAAAAATATTAAAATGTTACGAAATCTATTAATGTAGAGGAAAAAGTATATTCTTTGACAATAAGTGTGCGTTTTTCATAGAAAACCTCTCTGTTTTGATATTTATGTATTTTTCTACGAGCCAACTTTTACGATGTCATTTTAAGACTTGCTATGTGAGAACCGCAACTTTATGGAATTTCTTAGGAATTTGAAGAAATAGTGACTCATTTATCAGAAAGTTAAACTGCCCTGTCAAAATTTCATGAACACGTTGTTATTCGTTACGTCAAAAAAAATTTTTTTTCCATTTAATAACAATTCAATAATGTTCATTAAATCACTATTACTGAATAGAAAGAAATACAAATAAATCGCAGTAAAATTTTTAGTAATTTTTCAAAATTCGGTATTAAAATTTTTAGCATAGAATCGCGTAAAATGTGTTACGAAAAAATTTCTCTGGGGTTAATATTTACGATAACAGTATCAGAATACTGAAATTCAAAATGGCGGATCCAATATGGCGCATTTTTAAAGTCGTTCATCAATTGCACCTAGAATAACAATTTTTGTGTTTTTTAAAACACTGGTTACAGATTTTTATGTCTGATATTAATAAGTAATATCACGGACTTTAAATTTGATTTAAAAAAATTCGATATATTTGTTGCGCCATTAAAAATTCCGAAAATCTGGTGTCGAATTCTTCTGAATAACGAGTTTCAACTGAATTGTGATCGATATTTTCAACTCCATGAAGAAACATATTAAAAATTCCATATTATATTGAAAAAGAAGAAGAAAATTAATATCATCTAAAGACTTTCGAAAACTATTTTACTTTATTTTCTATTATTTATGTCAAACACGCGAGATTACATCGTCCTTTACGCTTTCAACTTTATATATGTCCTCTTTATAAAGGAGTAAGTAAAACTTTTAAACTAAAAGTAACTTTTTTACTGTTTATACTGTTGAATTTATACTGTTAAGAGTGATAAATTTTCTAAAATTAATAACTTAAAGAGAGCTAATATTAAAAGGGTCAAAAAAGTGTTTAAAACATTAATTACACTAAAATGTTTTCACCACACACCATAATTTTATTTATCGATTATCGATAATTCACTGATTTTCAATTTCACGTTGGATTGCATGTCATGAAAAGCGTCTAGGATTTTCGAAACTATAGATAATCGATGGTGATACTCGACAGTGTTTACACTCTGTTCAAAAGTTGGTTGAAAGCTCGAAATGGGTGAGGTTGAATCTCCCAAAGTCTTATCGTCTTCTTTTGTCGGGAATGAAAGCTCTTTCAAGAAAAGGGCTTCTCTTGAGATGTGAGCGCGGTGAGGAAGGATTCGTTAGATTGGAAAGTCGTTACCGTGTCTTGAAAGGTGGTGTGGTAACGAGGTCATCCAAAGGTGCCTCTAGGCCAACCAGCTAAGACGGCAACGAGTAGTGGTGATCAATGAGCAGGCCCCAAATGGGAACAATGTTTCCCATAAGACACAATCTTTTTCACATTCAAAGAAGGAATGTTTTTTTCACAATTTTCTTTTATATTATTTATGTTTATGTAATTTTTGTGAAAAATTTTTAAATGTTTTTTTATTTATATTGATAATTGATAAAGCAAATACTAGATTTACAATAATCTTTTTATTTATTTATTATTTTTTTTATATTTTATTTCATGTCGTCTTTATTTCTAATTGGTCTAATTGGTCGAAATAAACGAGCACAAATTTGAACAGAGTTTAATTTTTCTTAATGTAAACAAGCAAATAATTGTTATATATTTTATTTAGTAAAATTTACATAATATTGTACATTATGTGGTAAATTATATTTTTCACTACATTATACAATATATTATATTTAAAAATTATTTTCAATAGTATTTTAATTTAAAAATATTTTGACAAATAAGTATGCATGTTTGTCGGTAAAAAGAGAAGGATTAATAAAAGATGACTCTCTTTTTATGGAGGCAGAAAAGGGGTGTAGGAGGGTTGGAAAAGACTCAGGAGAGTTACGAGAGAAAAATAGAGATTCTCTTGTACATTTGATTAATTAAAACCGAGCACCGGAATCCCGAAGCACTATGATGTTAACACACCAGGGAGAATCGATGGACCAAAGCCGTCTGCCTCCACGCGCAGCACAATTTGTCGAACAGAAGAGGCTATCAGAATTTCCGCGAACGATTTTCGCAACCAAAAAAAATCCCTCTCTATCGCTCTCAGTTTCTCTCTCTCTCTCTCTCAAGCTTTTTCAGATTTTATGCGACGTTTGAAAAAAAATTTTTTTTTCTACTCTTGATTTATACATTCTCTCTTTGAATATATATATAGTTTTTTTTAAATCCATTTAATAAGATTCGGTTGCCTTTTTTCAAAAAAAGAAAATTTGTCACAATATCACTTTATCTTTATTCTTTTCAAATATCAATATGTAAAAATTTCTTCATTTTTTCTAGTCAAAGAATTTAAAAATAAATATGCTTATAAATATTGATCTATTTTTACACACAATAGATATGTTTCTAAATGAATTAATGTCCCGTCAGCTTTTCTGAGAGCCGAAGGTTAGCGTTTAAGTAAATAAAGGTATTATATTTTCAATTTTAGTTCGATGTGAAATTTCCAATATAACTGTGAGTTTAATCTAAAATAAACAATACAACTGTGAAGTATCGGCTTTCAACAGTGAATCTAGGTCGTTAGCTTCGTTATCCTGTATTGAAAGATATCAAATCATGGATTAAATCATTTTTTTTAAAATTATTTCAATTTAACATGCATTGATTTTCCATCAAACTATTAAAATTTTTATATACATCCACACTTAAATTGGGAAATTATAATTTTAGTTTTGACCCTTATTTGCGTATACTCGAATAAGTGTTTTCAAAATTAGATTTCGTATTCTAAATCTAGAAACAGATTCATATCATCATCATGCATATAAAGTGTGAACAAAATAAAATTTATGGGACACAGATCTTATAAAACCGATCTCCATTCTCATCTACACAGAACGCTATTTCTCTCTTCGAGAAAAACTAATCATACGCTCTCTTTTAACCTCTCGAGGGCTTTTCTGTCTCCTAGACTCGTCCAGAAGGATTTTTTCTTTTTTTTTTGTAGAAACTAATCGGAAAAAGTTTTATTAATTTTTATGAATTTTTTTCCACTCTTGCAAATAAAATTATTTTGTTATAATATTATTTGGAGGCGCATGAATACACTCTAATTTTTATTTTCCAAATCTTTATTTTACCGGAATTCTTTTTATCTAGTTAAATAATAATAATTTCTTTTAATCGAAATAATAATTTAAAGAAACATTATGTTTTTGAATGACCGATTGACAGAATGTTTATTACTGCGAAAAAATATTTTTTATAATTTTCGAATAACCGAATAATCATTTCGAATTCAATATAATTTTAACATTACCGAATAGCCTCTCATGAAATATTTTCATCTATAATTTTAGAGAATTATTTTTTTAAACAACTTGAATTATTTAATTTCGATTCATTACAATATGGTTGACAATTTAGTAATTTCACGGTTTCATGAATCTCCCTCCCTCTCACTCACTCTCTGAAGCGACAGTTTTCATCCCAATCTGTAACTTGTTTTGCCGGTGGTTCTATCGAATTCTATCTTCAATGTGTGTTGGTTAGTGTAAATTCTCGGATATGTATTTGTGTGTCGCAGAGAGATGAGGATACATGTTCTCTTACTTCTAACATTCCTAAACGCTTCTCTGTCGGTTCCCTTGCCGGCATATGCCAGCAATGCTTCAGAATATACTCCTTTATGCATGTATTTAACTCTCTCTACGATACCTGCTTCCCTCCGGCTCTATTCGAATTCTAGACAGTCTTACTATTACTCCTTGCTTTGTCTCTCAGCGGTGATAAATGCCAAGATTCTCCAGCATCTTATTTCAAATATATTCCAATTTCAATGAAAAATTATACTATAAATGAAAAAAAAGAGAATGCATGTTGATTTATATTTAATTGCAAAGAGTTTTTGAGTATTAATTTAAAAGTTTTAACATTTAGTAGAATAATGGGTTGAATACAATTTTCGCAATGTCGACATCAAGACTGCAAGCAGAGATCTTGA